ATTACAGGCGTGTGCCATCTCACCCAGTTGGTGCATCTTTTTTGGTATCAAGATAATTAGTTACACATTAAGGTTTATAAATAATCCCAGTTTATTTATTCTTCAGCTGCTAAATATTTAGATTGTTCCAGTTTTTCGGTTATTAGTTTCTGTAAAGAATGTGTTTGGAAGAGGAATGGCTGCCTTGTCTGACTTCATTGTGCTGCACCTGTTCCCCTTGAGTGGGTGCCGTCTGGGGGGGCGACCAGTGTGGTGAGGGGATCCTCAGTAGGTGAATGGAAGGAGTGAGAAGGGGCATGGTGGGAAAGCAAGTAACTCACCGTATCAGCAGCGTGGTGGAGATCTTTCAGGAGAGGAAAGCTGTGCAGTTTAGCTCTTCATTTCTTTGTTTTAAGAAAATGAAAGAATGGGTTTTATTGAACTTACCAAAGTCTTCTCTGCCAACTGTGCTGAAGGTTGGCTTCATCACATTGCTTACGTGCTTTTGAGTTCTCCTGAGGGGCTGTATGAGAGCAGGCAGAGGTACAGCCTCTTTATTTTTGTTGGGGCAGGTGAATTTTATTAACAAAAAGCTATAAACCCCTCAGTCCTGCTGCTTAAAAGAAAGTCATAGTTACTGTACTTTCCTGTGTATCTTTATTTGGGAGTTGAGCCTAGACTGGGCTTTTCTGAAATACTGAAAAGTTCTAGGGGCTAAAGGTATAACTTAGTAGTAGAGGACTTGCTTGGCAGTGTGAGGCCTGGGATTCAATTCCTAGAACCACTAAGAAGAAAGAAAAACAGGAAGTTCTTTCTTGTATAGCCAAACTTCTGTTTGTTTGGCTACAAACACTGTGGAAGGTGTTTTGTTGATACTGAGTGCATCCTAACCATCCCTTAGGCCTGTTAGCCAGAAATAAAGATTTTTGACTGTTTCTCCCTCTCTCTCCTTTTGTCTTTTTGCCTTTGTTCATTCATGCTTTTGTAATAGTAAAAACAGTGTATGGTCCAGAGGCATGTAACAAGGACGAGGTTGAAAGTGTTACCTGTGTTCCAGGAAGCTGGGCCGGACACGGGTCTGTGCAGTATTAATCGGAAGACGGGTATGGTGTTGGCTGTGATGGCACGCGCTGGTGCCTCGTGGATTGGAGTCACTCCACTCTTTTGCATTCCACTTAGGAAGCCCTCTGTGCAGGGGGTAGGTTCCCTGCTTCAGGAACTTTTGCTCTCCGTAAGGTGGTATGAAAACATTTGCCAGCTACACTCAGTAAGTCGGGTGAGCCCACTTACAAGCTGCTTCTTTTTTTTTGAGTCAAGGTCTTGCTGTGTGGTTCAGGCTGGCCTTGAATTCACAGTGTAGCCCAGGCTTGCTTCACACACCTCCTGCCTCAGCCTCCCAAATGCTGGGATTCCAGTTGTGCCACCCCGTGTGCCACGAGCCCCTTCGTACTGATGCTGTTCCACGTGGTGTGTCCTCTCCTGTCCTTTTGTAATTCTTAGACATTTTGTTCTCAGAATTCCTTTACACTCTAAATTATTGAGGAGCTGAAGGACTTTTATTTAAGTTCTATTAATATTGTATTAGAAATTACAACTGAGTAGTAGAAAATTTTCATTTTAAATAGTAACAGTAAACCCCATTTCTTTGATAGTATAACTAAATGCTGCACTATCATAAGGAGGTTTTTTGTTTTCTAAATGTGGTTAGGAAGAAGAGTGGCACTGTCTGTTTTTGCAGCTGGCCTGAGCGAGCTGTTGAGCACAGCCCGTCTCCTTTCTGCGTTTGGTCTCTGGTCTCAGCACCCCCCTCTTGCTCCCAGGGACCCCGCTGTGCACTCCTGAAAGACTCGAGAGGAGCAAAAGCATCATAGTATTTTTGGGAAAGCAGTTTGACCTCATGGACTACCTGGAAGGGGCTCTCAGAGGCCTTGGCCACACTTTGAAAACCTTCCCTTTAGATCCCAGTGCTGTTGTCACTTATGTAGCAGAGCCTTCCTGAAACCCCCTTACTAGTTTTAATTTTCCCCTTTTCTGGTCCCGCGATAGTATTCCCCTCCCATTGTGGCACTTGTGACAGTAGGTTTCTTTAGTGTAGGCTGTGTGCTCCTCCCCGGCTCCTTGGGGTTAGGGCTCAGCGCGATGCTTTGCTCACGCTGTGTCCCGTTCATACCACAGTGCAGTCCAGGATTTGACTAAGGGAGTACCTGAGGTTAGCTAAGCAGACTTGGTGGATTCAACTCAGTTACAGAGTTTCTTTTAAAATGTGAAGCCTGCCTGCTTGGCAAGCACAAGATCCTGAGTTTGATCCCTTTATTTATTTACAAAATAAATAAATAAAAGAAAAAAGCCTTGTCAACACAGCAGATACTGTATTCTTTTTATGTTTGTAAAGAGAATTAAAATAATAGTAAAGAACAAAACAGAAATAGTACAGAATGTCACTAAACATGATAATAGGAATTCAGCAATGGTTGTTATAATGCATATTGTTGTCTTCAAATTAGTTGTTCAGATTACCAGATATAAGCGTGTACAATTGGTCAATAAAAAATTATAAAAAAATAAAAGGTGAGGAAAAAATTTGACCTTTAACTGCTTTCAGTAGAAATCAGCAGTATAGGTATCTAAGCTATCCTGTGTATATACATAAACCTTCCTTCCTTCCTTTGAACAGATTTTTCCCTTTTCACTATCTGTTGTACCTTTCAGATTTTATTTACTCTGTCAGGTTCTTACCCTTCCAAGACAATATGATATTTATACATGTGGGTCTGATTTCATTTAGGAGTATGGTCTTTAGTTGCGTCCATTTACCTATAAAAGCGTTGAATCTTTTTTTTTTA